TTGGGTCTTTTTTACATGGAAGACAGTAGGCGCAACCGCCCTTACCGCCAACAACAATCCCATAGCCACTAGGTTTTCCTAGGTACAACAAAACCTAGTTACTCCAATAATAGGAAAAGGCCCAAGAATACATTCCTTTAGCGGTGAGGCACTCCCTTACACCACCTCCGTGTGTGCACCTCACTAAAAACTCCATTAAAAAACAAGTGGGACAAAAAAAGATCTTGGAGAAAAGAGCACGCACATGACATGGAAATAACCATTTAAAATGTAAACTAGATTCGATGTCTACCCTGGGCTTCGACATGTATCATCGGTGTGGGAAATGCTTCGGTGATGAAGGTTGGAGACCACAATCTGATGATGATGGCTTTTCTTTTGAAGAGGTCAATGATCTCACTCCTTCGTATTCTAGCCGCTATGAGGGTCTTCACCTCTTCTAGGGAAGCTCTCTATAGCCACGGTAGTGGATGTAGTCATGCTGGTTGCCATAGTAACCGAGGCTTGCCTCCTTCAGCTCGTGAGTGCAGGCAAGGCATGTACTCTAGGTCATATTGGGTCTCCAGTACACCCTCGATAGCCCCTCTTGGCTGGTGCTTATGAGTGGCGAATGTCTAGCAACTAATCAACGAAGGTGCCGATGATGGAGCTTGGCAAGGGGTTTTCGAGCTTGTAGACGTTGCCGAAGTTGAGGGTAAGCTGTTCGGGCCAATGGTGTAACCCCACACTGACATGTTCATGAAGGTGAAGTCAGCGTCGTTGAAGCCGTTGATGAAGCCCTTTGCTAAAGTGTTGGTGAAGGTGAAGTCGGCGCCGCCAAAGTCGACAACGAAGCCCATCTCTAAAATGTTGGTGAAGGTAGTCGTTGTCGCCAAAGTTAGTGACGGAACCCCTCCCCAAAATGTTGTTCTTGAGAGGGTGGATGGAATGTATAAACGCCTATTGTAATTTATCTCAGCTTTGAGGCACTCCAACACATTCAAGCAAGTGAGAACCACATATATATTGCTTCATCACCTTGAACTAGATGTTGGAAGAAGTCTGCGAGCTTTCTGTGTTACACTGGATGATTTGCCGCTGCCAAAGACACTCCATTAGATTATACAGTGCTGTTAGACATTAATTTCTTTTGGCTAGACTATCCTAAACGTGTAAATGAATAGTGTTTCCAACAGGCTTCATCATTTTTCTCTGTGTATTCATGATCTTCGTGTTTTTTTCTTGCATCCTATATCTCAGAGATTTGAAGAGCGTTCAGGCGACGGCTCTCCCACGAGCCCGCACTCGCGTCCCCCGTGGCGTGTTCCCCAGCTCCGGCAAGCTTCTCCTCTCACTCTCCCTCCCTGACGCCGGCGACCTTGGAAAAAGGAGGGGTTCGGGAGGCAGACCAGCCAGGCGGCGGGAACAGCGGCAGGGCGTTTTAGGGGCCTTGACGGCGACGGAGAAAGACGGACCAGGTCGGGGCGGGAGCGAGGAGGGCCATGGCGACGGCGGGAGGGGGGAGGGAGAGGAGGAGGCCGCCGCGGGTGCAATGGGCGGCGGCGGGTGAGCAGCGCAAATGACCTGAGGAGGAAGATGAACTGTGCGGTGGCTGGTCGATCTAATCTGCACCGTTGCTTTCTCATCCAACGGCTCACAATCGTCGTCAGGAAACAACTGAAATTTCAGGCGCATGAGGAATAGGGATTCCCAAAATAAAAAGCATAATCACGTAAAGGCTGCAACACGCTGGACGGTGGTACTGTAGCACTAGCACAGGCCTGGCAGGACGCAGGCCGCAGGTGCAGGTGGGAGCAGCGACGGGCCTCTCCACTCCGCCTTTTGGCTCTCCCTCATTTTATATGGTATTTCTCTAATCCAATTTCCAGTTTCAAGTATTTGTAGTTGTACACTTGTATCTATTCAATTGGATTGAAAATTGTAAGTAGAATCATGGATATTGAATTAGAGATTGTTCATAATAAAGAGACCAAGACATTGACATCTTATATTATTATTTCTTGTATTGATGTCGGTAGTTATTTTTTTTACATGTTACTTGTAATATTTTAACAATTTAGTTGCACTACTTTTTTGTTAACATGTAATATTTTAACAATTTATTAATTGCACTATTGAATATGTAGTCCCATCATCATATCAGTTTAACATTTTTGTCTTTTAACTATTTTTCTACGTATGATATTAATGGATAGCTTTCACCATTGGCCGAACAAATGTATCCGCTATCGGGCGATTTGAAACGGAACAGTAGTGGCTAATTTAATTTTTGAACGGCTAATTTAATTTTTTGAACGGCTATCGCCCTTTCAACTGGTCGGTCAGGACTCAGGAGGCATCAAGTTATCAGGCCAGGCCTTCGGGTACAGCGTTCTCGCTGGAACCTAGAAAGCCCACCGGGCTTTGGAGATTCGGCAGCGGGCAGCAGAATTCAGGGATTTTCCAAGTCATGGCCTGCTACTAGACGCCGTTACGGAACGCGAACAGGTTGGAGGTTTTGCCGCTCCGGTGCGATTTAGCTGAGCTATCATTGATTAATACAAGGCCATAGAGCCGAGGCATGAGATCAAAAAAAAAAGGATTATACCTATTGAGTATCAGACTGTCATGGGCGATAGATCAGTTGTGTAGTTTTAGTTTCACCAAAAACTATAATTATGCCGACATTATTGAATATTAGACTATCATGGGCGATGGATCAGTTGTGTAGTTTTAGTTTCACCAAAAACTATAATTATGCCGGCTATTGTTTCCCCTCATTATCTTTACAAAATAATATGACCAGATACATCATATGACATTACTGATAATGGTAAAACTTGTCTAACTGAACTCAATATCCAAACGAAACCATATACTGACACAAGGTAGCCATCTAATTTGCGGTTATAAGAGCATCTCCAGCAGCTCCCAATAATCTTTCCTCAATATATATGTATTGGGTAGCCCAATATCTTTTGTCAATATTTGGAGAGTTGCTGCAACAGTACCTCAATATATCTCCTCCAATACTTATATATAAGGTGGGTCCGACAGAAGTGTAAGAGAAAATATAGCCGAAAAGTAGTAGTTGAGATGATCTCCATGATATTAAGGGAGTTATATCTCCCCCTATCTTTGAGGAGAGATGAGAAAAATATTGATGGTAAAAAAAAAACATTAGGGAACTGCTGGAGCCAAAAAAAAAAGAGATATTAGGAAACTGCTGGAGCAAGAAAAAAGCATAGCTGTCGCCAATATATCAGTTTTATGGGGATGGGGAAAGGTATTGGAGAACTGAGATGCTCTAAGGGCTGCGGCCCTTGTCCTGACGTTGAGTCAGAGGAAAACATGGATATCAGGCTGGTTCAGAACTCAAAGCAGCAATCTCCAAAAAGCTATCAGGGGCAGCCAAAGGGATCGGAGTTGCAAGTCTTCTTTTGGCCAAAAGCTATCCTTATGACCACCAACTAGGCAAAAGATGCAGCACGAACATTAACAACCATTTCTGTCTGATCTCGTGGCCCTTTCCCTGATGAAAGGTCTCTTAAAAATCCAAGTCTTAATGCCCAGGAAGACACGAAAGTGCCCGGTGAGTACCAATCCTACATTCACAAAAGATTATGAATGGTTTAATGCCATTTTGGGCTGGCCCGTCCTCAAAAGTTTTAATCTTAAATTGTGCACAAACTTATAAATTAGGAGTCACCTGTCCAAACCTGAAGAAGAGCTGTGCAAATTCAGCACCCTTAAATGTTACAGTTATTGGATTTGTAGACGATGGGTGTAATAAAAGTGAGACTGAACAACTGCAATGAGAAAATGAATTCATCAGGACAATAATCATTATATGTTCAGGGAGATAATCATTATATTTCGTTCTTCTTTTATTTTCTCACAAGGGAACATGTCTGCTTTTTTGCTTTTGCTTTTCTTATATAAATATTTTTTACCACAGTAGGGGATTCCCCAACTGTTTTCGCCTAAAAATCACTATATCTATCACATTGGTCAATATCAATAATGGAATTTACATATATACATCGTAATAGAGAAGTGCTGTGGAGGACAGAACTATTGTTAAGTAATGGCAATGAGCGTAAGCCATATGCTAAGGTAATGCTTTCACAACAGCTGTCTCCAGTGCACGTGACTAAACCACAGGATAGTCCCAGGATCACACTTTATCATTTCAATAATTGGTAAATTCTGCAGAAGGGACATTATTGTTCTACCTTCCAAAGGAACAGCATTCAGAGCCCAAACGAAAAATGACAAGGAAGAAGAGAATATAACATATAGAGAGGACTTAGATACACAGAGGATTATGGCAGCATCATGACGATGAGAGGCAAGTGAAATAGGCTAATCAGTTTTCAATTCAACGTGCCTGTATAAGCCCAAATAAGTTTCTACTATGACATTCTGTAGTCCCTTATCCCTAGCCTTACTTGTTTTTTTGTTTCCTATTATGACATCTGAACAAAGTAGGAAAATATAAGAATTTAAAGTAAAAAACATGTGGCAAATTGAGCATGTAACAAGAGATAAGTATGTGTTATATCAGAGAACCTAACAAACCAACAACCATTAGTGACTCAGGACTCCAGAGACGAAGATGAAATCTTCCAAGATGACTATAGAGATGAACTGTAGTTCAAGACCTGCAATGAGAATAAACTAAATATGAGATCGATCATATGTCCATCCCATGGTATAATGCCCACAATTGGATTCATTTTCTTGGAACATGCACAGTAAGATGCCTTGTCGCTGAAACTAGTAAAAAGGAGAATGGGCATGTTAAAAACACGATACCTTTCTTGTAAGGAGAACAGCGTGGTTACATTGCACACTTTCCAGTGCCTTCTGTAATCTGGCCATTTTGTGATAGGCATAAACACTGAAATATAGACCTTGTTTATCTAATAAGGTTGTGACTGCCTGATCAGACCACATAATAGTCTCAATCATTCCTTCCTCCCTTACAATGTAGATGTATTAATTCGAAAAACAAAATTTCAAGCATATACATTTCCCATTAACTTCATCCATGGGTCAGCATCATCAACAAGCCTCTGTGAGTGTAAATACTGTATCAACTTTGTCACATGTTGAAGACTGGCTGATGTGGATAGAGAAGCCATGAGCTCATTCATTACATTCTCAAAATTAGAGCTGCAGTTGCTCCTAATCCATTTTAGGTGCTCAATGGCCATCTCCACTTCCCCAACATCGGTTAGATACTTCAGCAAGATGATGTGTGAATTCAAGTTCTCAACATTAGATGGAACATTACACATAACACTCAATGCTACTTTGAAATTACCTGCAAAAAACATGTAATATCTATTATTTAGATTGAGTTATAAAAAGCAATTAGCAGCAGCCAAAACTTCATTTGGTAGGTGTACCTTGTCCGCAGAGTGCAAGTATAAAACTACTCAGCACGGAACTAGCTACTCCAGCATCCTGCATACAAGATTTCTTGAAGATCTCCAGGGCCTGGTCATATTTATTTTCCTGGCACAACATATTGATGAAGGACGTGTATGTTGCACCATCTGGAGCCACTCCTTTCTGGAACATATGATCAAAGAGTTGTTGGACCTCTTCACTTTCACCCATTTCTGTAAACTTTGTTATGAGTATATTGTATGTCTGAAGATTTGGGTTACACCCACTGGTAAACATCTCATCCCACAACTTCTTGGCTGGCCTAAGAAGGTCATTTCTACACAGCGCTTCCATAAGAGAGTTATATGATGAAATGTCAGGCTCTAACCTCTTTTTTTTCACCTCCTTGAGCACATCATATGCCTCCCTAACCTTCCCAGCCTTCCCTAAGAATGACACCACCAAATGGTAATCCCTTGCATTTCTACAATACCCCTTGTCCAAAAGCACCCTAAAAATCTCCCACATTTCCTCGCCCTTCCCACTTTTGCAAAGACTCTCACAAAGGTGCACAAGTATCTCAGTACTTGGAAACCTCCCCTTCCCCATCATGAACTTGCAGAACATGGTGGCACCATCGGCATCAATCTCAGACACTGAAACGACCAAAATATTCAGCACATCATCGTCAATTGGGAAATCTCCCAACACAACCGCCTCGGCCATCTCCTTCGCCTCTGTAACCAGCCTGTTGGACACCAACACAAGCACACACTCCCTGTACTCGTCCTTTCTAGGTGCAACCCCGAGCTTCCTCTTTTGCTTCAAGATCCTTCCTTCTTCCTCCACCCTCCCCGCTACCCTAAACCCCTCGGCCACAATCCTATAGGCCACGAAATCTGGTTTCCACCCACGTAGCCTCATCTCCTCCAGAGCACGCCAAGCATCCTCAATTCGTCCCTCCCTACACATACCGTCGACAACCATTGCCACCACAACCGACCTGTTAACCCGTCTCCCTTGACAGCCCACCACATCCACCAGGCGCAGGACTTCGGCCAGTCCGCCATCTTTCCTACCTGCGGCATTAACGAACACCCCGAACCCGACGGTGTCCAGCTCGACAGTTCCCGCCAGCATTCTATCGAGCACCTTGCGCGCGTGGACGATGGACCCAGTCGACGACGCGAGCGCTGCGAGCAGGGAGTTGCATAGCGGTGCGGGTAGAGGGGAGGTGGGGTCGGAGTCCGGGAGGAGGCTGAAGTGTGCGAGGGCGTCGGGTAGACGGCCGTGGCGGAGCAGCGCTGAGGCGGCGAGCGCGCGGGTGACCGGGAGGAGCGGGAGCCGCGCGGCGCGGGCGCGGGAGAGCGCGGCTAGGAGGGAGGGGAGGTGCGGCGCGACGGATGCGAGGTGCGTGTGGAAGGCGTGCGGAGTGAAGGCGGGCACGGCGGCGGTGGGAGAGGGACAGGGCGGTGGGGGACGGGGACGGGCGGAGACGGAGAGAGAGCGCGCGGCGGCGGCGAGACGGGGGAGGAAGGTGCAGGGGTGTGGCGCCATCGTCATCGTGGCAGCGCCGCAGCGGGCAAGGAGGGCGCGAAGTCTACACTTGGCATGTACTTTCTGGGTCACGGCCTTTCAAGTTCAGGCTATCTGAACATGAACCTAACAACAAGAACCAACTCGGATATGATCTGTGCAAAAGAAAAGGATTGGTAGGTGACTGAATTATATTAGTAATTGTTGTGATGCATTATCAGTGATTCCCAAGTTTTCTCAGTGATTCTGAATTTCTGATCAATGCTGTTGTGCTACATTATATAATTATAAGGAATTCTAGTACAAATTAATTAGGTAGCAACAAACATGTTGATATGCCTTTGTAGTGAGATGCTTTCAGTTACTGGACAGGAACTTTCTAATAATATAGTGAAGGCAACTTGAAAATTAACTATGTCATTGCTTCTTAGATCATTCTAGCAAATATATTATTTTTGTCCTCAACAACTTAGATTATATTCTATGCCTGATAGCAGTCGTTTTCCTTTAGGTACAAGTGCAAGCAGAAGATCGATATGACGAAGTTAGGAAGATTTTGATCAGCCTGCATGCTGTCATTTTTTCTTTTAAATTAGCTATAAGTTGTCATAAGACTGCGGTGTGAGAAAATTCTTTGCTTGTGGGTGAAAGAAAATTCTTTACAGTTATAATATGCACATTTGTAATCTTTGGTTGCTTTGTGAGTGAAATCATGGTGTATCAAATAGCAACACAAATGTTACTAAAATGGTATTCATAATTGATCCTACCTGCATGTAAGCATTCAACCGGCCACTTGCTGAGAGTTAAACGGACACGACTTCGTACGAGCTATCTGTTTAGTTGTCTGTACCGTAGATTTAAGAACTCATAGACAGATCCTATCTCTGTGGTGTACATGCCCATCGTCAACAGAAGCTTCATCCCATCTACTCTACGCACTCTCCACACGCCTACAGGTGGGACCAGGCTCCCTTTTTCGTGCCCCGATCTCTCTCCCTCACACAATCAACATAGTAGATGAAAGTAGAAAAACAATAAACACAAGATAGGAAGACTATTCTTTACTTCTCTAAAAATTCGAGATTACAACATAGAGCTTCCACGTGTTTGACTGGAGCCAAATACAAAAGGACTATAATTAGGATAGAGTCCGCATGTTTTACAATAGATAGGTGTATTTGTTACTCTCAATAGTTTCATAAATGTTAGGGCCAGGTCGCCCGATCGTCCGGACGCTCCACCGACCCTCTGCGCCACTGCTGTCGCGCTGACCCATCCTCTGTGCCACTGCCACCATGCCGCCCACCCCGCCCTCTATGCACCACTGAAACGATCCCGATTTCCTTGAAGGGGAATCCATAGATTCGAAGTATAACGTGATAGTCCCAGGTGATCATCTCATCACATTATCAAATATCAGTTGATATCACAGTCATACATCGAATACTTGTTTTAAAGAGAGTACAAATAATAAGGTTTACTCATTATTACATCGCCACTTGGCGGAATCACTCAGAGCATGCAACATCTAGAACAACATCAAGTAGAAAGGCAGCGGGCGTCGACTCCATCTTCTCAACCAAACTTGAGCGCAGGAACAAGACCTCTAATCCTCCCCAACGTCACCCTGGTAATCATACTCAGGCTCAAAACCTGTCAAACAATTATCAGTACGATTTGTAGTGGCCATTGGCTCCCACATGCAAGGGTAGAGCAATAGACCTATTTGTGGTTGTAGTTTCCTATGCGAGTATGTCAAGTTTTAATAATAATAATTCATCAAGTTTTAACTCATCTCATCCACACGTTCTCCCATCCCATCACACATATCTCACCACTCTCACACTCTCTAGGCGACAAGGACGACTCCCGCTCATACCAACACAAGAACCCAAGGAAAGAGAAGAAATGACTCACTCACTAATCAAGGGAAGCGTAGGTCATAGGAATGTCCATATCCGAGGACACGACTATACGTGTAGATCGATCAACTCTGCAGAGCGTGTAAACCTGGAACCACAAGATCACCATCGTCGGTGGTGCCCCGCCTAGGCTGATACCGGGCTACCTTCCAACCGGTGCGATGCCACCCTACCACTCAGCACTGGGCCACCCTGGAGTCCACCAAAATGCTGAGACCGTGAGACGTAGTACCGGCCCCAAAGGTCACTACGCTGTCTTAGGAGGGTGTGGGCCAAACGCCTGTACCTCCCTACACTATCCACTTTCAACCTAGTAGTAGCGGCACCATCCTAGCTAGTCAACATCCGTGCCCCGCCCATTCAGGGACGAGTGGCGTGCACGTAGGGTCCTATGATCTGGTTCTCTCGACATATCAATCCTTAGGGAGACCGGACAAGATATCTTTTCTAAGGGGATAACCAACACCCCGTGCCTCGACGGCACTTCCATCCTAGGGCTTCATCCCACAAAGACACTCCACTCCGAGATCTCCTCATCTCACATGCACCCACCACAGGTACCACTCGTAGGGGATGCCCAAGTCACACCCCCTAGCAAGACTCGTCCAACGACTCGTCGTAAGATCCTGCATGATCGACTCTACCCTCACCACACACCTAAAACGCACGCCAAGATCTCCTCGGTTGTTACCACATTACTGACACCCAGTGCCTTAACCACTCACATACAGTTCTCCATCAAGCATCACATCACAGATATAATGCATAGTAAAAGTAGTAGCAAGTAAGTAAGCAAGCATCTAACCTAACAGTGGGTGTGCAGGGGTATAGGTTGCGACAAGGTAATGGCTCACAAGCAATTCTATCATGCAACCTATCACAGATTATTTGCATAAAAGTAAAGCACTAGCATTTATATTGTAACATGTCTAATAGGATTCTACGAGGTTGGGTGGGACGTGGCACCTAGCAGGTCGTCTCTAAGCTCCTCAGTGTAGTCGGGGTCGTGCTCCTCAGTCTGTGGCTTCTCCGAGTCTGTCAAACGAGACATATAGCCACAATAAGAGACTCCTATAGATGATCACAAAGAAGCAACAGAAATTCAAAAGATCCAAATGCACTCAAACACAAGCCTATGACGTAGAGCTCATTTTTAGAAAAAAAAATTGGGCACTGGTTTTATATTTTTTTCTGTGGTCATATGAATTTTCTATGAATTTCTAAGTTTAAATCATTTTCTGAAAAAAAAGAAAAAGAAATGGAAATCCTGGTGCTGACACGTGGCGGCTTTCAATTAAGCGAGGCAGATCCAGTCGCTGACAGGTGGGGCCAGGTCAACGGTCAGTGTTGACTGGGCCTTGACTGGGCTCAGTGGGCCGGGTTGGGCGGGGCTGGCCCGAACATGTGTCAGACGTGTAGGTGGCCATGTGGCACAAGCGGGCCGCTACTAGGCTCGGTCCACGGGGGCTGGTTCATGGTGGACGGCGCCGTGCGGGTCCATGGACCACACGCACGGTTCGCGGTGGACCACATCCACCTTTCCCTCTTCTCCCTTTGGCTCATGGTGCGCCGGGTGCACGCGGGTCCAGCGAAGGGGCGCGACTGCCTCCCCCTCTCCTCTAATTCTCATGGTGGCGCTCTCTCCGGCGATGAGCTCGGCCGTTCTCGCTCTAGGGTGGCTCGGCTCGGTAGGGTCGCTAGGAGGCTCTATGGCTTCGCGAGCTCATGGTGAGCTCGCTGGTGGGCCAAAGGCGGCGCGTTGCTGGCTCTAGCCTCTAGCGCCCGGCGTAGGCTCGACGGCGGGGCCCTACGGTGCGTCGGGATAGCTCCAGCGAGCTTCGCTGGCTTCCCCACACTCCAGCGAACGCGTCAGCGACTCCAAACATGACGACAGGGCTTGACCGAGGCAGACCATGGCGGCAGCGGCACGGCGACGATGGCAGACGATGGCAAGGGGGCTACGGCTGCAATAGGGGCGAAAAGTGGCCCTTTTTCCTCGATTGGGATCACGTGGAGGCCGGTCGACTCAACGACGGGGACCATACACCACGGCGGAGTCCTCACCATGACAAGGCGCGCGGCGCAACTCCGACAAGCTCATGGCTACGGCGGACTACGGCAAGGCGGGAGCTTTTTTGTTCATCTAGCTACACTACGAGGTGCGCGGGGTGACGGCGAACCTTATCGGCCCCTCCTCGCGTCGCGAGGCAGCTAGGATCAGCGAGATCACAACGGCAGCATGGGAGGTGCGTGGGTCCAATGAGGTGGAACACGACCAGCGGCTCTCGGGGGTCTCCTTCCCCTTCTACCTAGCCCAAGGCGCTCGTCCTACCTCTACCGGCCCGAGGTGGCCGGAACGTGGCAGCGCCATGGGTGGAGTCGCCCATGGCGACCGTGCAGTGCGCGGTGAGGGCACACCGGTGTTCCTGAGCATCCGAGGCTCGGCAAGGCCTGGTCCTTGGCCGTGTACGTGTGTGCATGTGTGCGGTGCACCATATCGATGAAAAGGGTGGCCTTTGGCCCTCCCAAGGGGGAGAACATGGCACGCGACTTAACACATCCATGGCGGCGAGCATGAAAGAGCGATGTCGGGGGCTCACCGTGGTGGCAGGGTAGGTAGGATGGTGCGAGTTGAGACCGTGGCGAGGTGGTGCAGTGCCGTGCCAAGCAGCTACGGCGAGGAAGATGATCGAGGCACCGTCTTCTTCTCTGGAGGTTGCTCCTCGGCGGCAACAGCACGGTCGTCCTCCTTCTCATCCCCTCCTCCCTTCTCCTTCCCTTCTCTCGGTCTCGGTGTGTGGCTGGTGAAACCACTAGTAGCGGTGGGGCGTTGGAAGGGCACTAGGGCACCGAGCGTGCCCTTTTATAGGGAGCTCACGACCATGGTGGCGGCGGACGGCGGATGGAGGGGAAGGGGCACGTGGAGGGCGATCAAGGGCTCCGACTTAGGGTTTTAGGGAGCGGGGGTGAGCGCAGTTGCCTTGGCACTCCCATTTTCATGCAACGACCGATCAAGGGTGGGTATGGTGGTGGCAGACGGTGGCAGGCGCACTGTGAGGGGCGCGGGCCATGGCGCTCGCGTCAGCGGCAGGCGGGCGCTAGCTAGGGCAGGTGGTGGCATGGATCATCGACGTGGCGGGCATCCACACGTGTATGGTCAAGGGCAGGGGCACATACGGCTAGGACGGTGAGCAGCGCAGTGCGGTGCTCTGCTTTGGCATAAGCAGAGAGGGGAGCGGGGTAGGGGATGATAGGTGGGGTCGGGTTGTCAGCGACAGAGAGAGAGAGGGCGACACGGGCATGGGCGCGACGTGGGGTGTTCTTTGGGCAGCTCGACCACGCAGCGTGGGCACGCAGTGAAACAAGTCGACGCAGTCTTGGGTCTGCGACATTTGGGCCATGGCCATGGCGATGTGGGGTGGTGGTGAAATTTGGTAGCAGGGCTTCTTTCCTTTTTCTATTTCTTTCCCCTTTTCTAATTCCTTTTCTATTTCCACACTACACCTAGGGCTCCTATGCATGTATACATGTGTTGCCAACATGTAAACGCCCTAGTGGGGCCCGCTAGAGGTCATCTAGGGCTTTAGGGTCCAAGCCAAAGGTTTGACAACACACAATTTATTTAAAAATGTTGGATTGATTTTATTACATCACATAAAATCATGAAGAAGCAACACATAATTTTTAAGTTTAGATTTTTGGGTTATTGGGAAACTTGGGTTGTTACAGCCATCGCCCAGCTCCGTGCTGTCGGTGAGCACAGCGGCGACCTCCACACGCCACCCACCCGCCCTCTGGCCCACCGCTGCCCGTGCCGCCCCTACCCCGCCTTTTGTGTGTCACCGCCTAGCCCCGCGTTGCCGGCGAGCTCCACGTCGACGACGAGCACAGCGGTGACACGCGTCACCCACCCACCCTCCGCGCCACCGTTGCTCGTGCCACCCCTACCCCAGCTCCGTGTTGTCGGTGAGCTTCGTGCCACCGATGAGCACACCAGTGACCTCCACGCGCCGATGATTCTCCATTCGCCGAAGCAGCAAGGAGATGTTTGCGATGAAATAGCATGTTACAAAGGTATGTTTCAAGTGTTTCGGGTGTTTCAGAGGTATGTTGCAATTATTTTATATCGATGTTGCAAAAGCAGAGATCCGGATGTTGCATATGTTGCAATGGCTGTACACGTATGTTGCAAGTGTTTCATCTGTGTGTTGCATATGTTTGCAATGGCTTTTAAGTGATTTTTCAGGTGTTTTTGCAAGTGTTTTAGACGCATGTTGCAAGTTTTTTAGCTATTTTCGAACATATGTTGCAAGGGTTTCATGTAGGTGTTGTAAAAGTAGATCTGGTGTTGCACATATTTCATGAGACCCACCTGTCGCGTCACCTGCTGCAACTGTTGGGTGGTGTCTGGGCGACACGGGCCCGCCGTTGGGGCGCCGCCGAGCGGGCGTACACATGCGCGTGAGAAACCGAACACAGACATGGGGCCCACGCGGTGGGGCACACGAAACAAGCAACGTGGGCTCGATTTCTCTTGGGTATGTGGCACCGTTTGACGCCAGTGTTCCAGATCGAACGTTCGGGCGCTAGCAATTTCGTGACAAACCAGTTTTTCTAGGCTCTATTTACGGGGCATTGTTGCAGACGCTTTTGGCCCGTGTCCTGCCCGTGGCCTCAGGCCTCGGCTCCGCTCTCAAGTTGGCTATTTGATACGGGCCGAACACGGAAGGCAGTATACTATGAAATTACGCAATCGCACTGTGAAAGCGGAGACCGTACGGGTTATCTCTGATTCCTTTCGACGCGCTCACCCTCTTTTCCCCCAGTGCCCAAGATCTGGTCAGGACCAAGCTTCGTCGACTCCTCGCCTTCCCTCACCTTCTCCTTCGCTTGCTTCTCCGCAGTTCTCCGCAACCCTCCTCTTTCCCGCGACTTCCTCTTTTCAAAATCCTCGCTGGTCTCGTGCCCCGTTCTACCCACCTCTAGTTTCGAATCCTAGCGCCTAGCCTCCGCATCCTAGGGTTTCCCCGCCCCCGCCGCCGGCCATGGAGGCGGTGGTCGTCGACGCGGGCTCCAAGCTGCTCAAGGCCGGCATCGCGGCGCCCGACCAGGCGCCCCCGCTGGTGAGCACGCGGATCCCTGGGGGCGCCTCTCAGTGCGCTGTGTGTGTGTGTGTGTGTGTGTGTGTGTGTGTGTGTGTGTGTGTGTGTGTGTGTGTGTTGTGAGTTAATTTGACCTTCTATTTTCTTGGGGGGCCTTTTGCTGGGCAGGTGATGCCGTCGAAGATGAAGGTGGATGTGGAGGACCAGGAGCTGGCCGACGGCGCCGTGGTGGAGGAGGTGGTGCAGCCGGTGGTGCGCGGCTTCGTCAAGGACTGGGACGCCATGGAGGACCTACTCAACTACGTCCTGTACAGGAACATTGGGTGGGAGATTGGGGACGAGGGCCAGATTCTCTTCACCGAACCGCTCTTCACGCCAAAGGTGATGTATCTCCCTGCTCGAATAGAGCTTGTCGAGAACTTGAAATGCTTCATGTTGCAGCCTTGCTGATGGGGGCGGCTAGGGTGTCCAATCCTAACCCAAATTGTTTTAGGACAACTAAATGTGCTGATTACTAATGAACTAGTGGGGCTTATTTTTGGGTTTTGGCTTATAAGTACTAGTTATTAATTAGGTTGGGGTATTCTGGACTTGTGTCTTGAACTCGTAACCCAACATTTATTTTTTGTTTTTACATGATTGTTTTTGGAGTTTCATGATCTCATATCATAACTCTTAATTAGATGGTCATGCCATATGTACTCTAAACTTTGATGTCAAACATTTTGTTATATTGGGGATGTGTGTGCATAGTGGATTTAATTATCTATGTGGAAGTTGATAACAATAGTTGAACGATATAACGGAATTTGGTAGTCCTATTCATACCAGAGCTGAAATGATGGACCCCGATATTTTGTGGCTTCTGCAGCCTATGTTTAAGGTCGCTGCAAATCTTGGTGTTGTATAGGATCTGCACTAGAGCTTACTAGAAAGTTGTAGTCTGGCCTCCAGGTCAAATTTGGTGTGCATTTTAATTTAAAAATTCAAACAAGCTAAGACTAAATCAATAGTTTAGTGTATCTGTGTGCCAGCTTCAAAGTATTCAATAATGGTACCTGGTGGGCTTTTCTGGTGTGATGTTTTGCTGATGCAGGCATCATAGCAGCACATGTTTGGATATTGTCTGATGCATCTCGTAAGTAGGCTTTGGACATACGGGAGCTGCAAAACAATATATCTTGTACTTTCTTAAATTTTTTGTCTTCCATTGTTCATGTTCTGAGTGTGTCTAATGCATTTCTCTAGTAGTTCTTTTGTACATTTGAATTTGATTATAATTGTCCTCACATCTCTCAATGCTCTCTGCAGACTCTTCGGGAGCAATTGGTGCAGCTTATGTTTGAAAAGTTCAATGTTTCAGGCTTTTATGCCTCTGAACAGGCTGTATTGTCACTCTATGCTGTTGGACGCATTTCAGGATGTACAGTTGACATTGGGCATGGGAAAATAGGTAATATCACAAAATCAAAGCATCTTTAACTTTGGATGATTCAGATTTAGATTTCAATTATGTTTATTCCACATCTGGCTTTTGTTTGTGTAGCAATGGTCTGAAGCTATTTACCTTTTCCTTCATTTATTTCGGTAAAAGGGCTGTCCTTTACCTGTAGATTTTGACTCCGTGAATGTTTAATTCAGTCATCTTGTCAGCTTTCACTGCTGTAGATTTCCTTGATGCAAACTAGCACGTGTCGAAGGCTTGCAGGGAAAACATATATGTTCCCTTTTGAGCTCAAAAGTTGTGGAATAGAAAAAAAATGTCAACTAGTTATTGATGATCTTTAAGGATACACAGGAACATCACATTTGGGTGACATAAATTCTTTATGCAAACAATTTTCAGGAATGTTTATATTACAATACAAATATCAAAACTTCAAAAGGTTATGGGCTTTATGCAATTAATTAATTAATCTAGTCTCGTGAATGAACCATGGTTTGTGTCATACTGTTGTAATGTTGTGCCGGTTTCATTCATGTATCTTTTCCTATATTTTAAAAGGCGGCGCTAGGTGGAACTGCATCACCTCACTTAGCACCTAAGTGTTTTGTCTAGGATTTTTTGTGCGTAGAGATGTTTTGGGCTTGATGTATGCTTGGAAATGGAACATATTAGAGATGGAGGAAGATGAGCTGCAGTCATATCACTCATGGATGTACGATAATATCAGTTTTTTTAGCAGGATTATTCTAATCACCACATAAAGTACAAACGCCTAGCATTGCATAGGCACTAGGCGTAGCCCGACCACCTGTCTAGCGTGTAGCACTTTTTGAAACACTATTTTTTGCATATAGCTGTGCCACAATTCTTTCACCTAATTATCGTTTACCTTTCTACAAAGATGTATTATTGCATTCCTTGCTCACAGATGAGTCTTTCTGCAGGTTCTTAAAATAAACAATTACCAATGTTTCTTTTTCAACTTGGTTGCCAATTAAGTGTAAAGATGAAACTAAATGTAGTAAATGGAGTTTCTGATAAGAAGCTATGAGAGAACAATACTTACTGCATATAGAGATTGAAGATATAAAATGATAGTGGAATCATTTTGAAAAAGTACTTACATATTATAAATAATTCCATAAATATAACATAGATAGAATGCCAAAGTTGCATCTGAATAACAACTGGATGCCTGGAACAACACACTTCCCTTACCAAAGGAGCACATTATATTATGAAGCCTCACATCTAACAAAATAACCAAAAGATAATAGTAGTATACCTGAAGAAACAGTGCATAATGATTAGACCTGCTTCACATCTTCTTTTTAAAATCTTGATTTCTTAGGTGCCATTGACTCCCAGGGTATGCATCATAGTTATACTCATCACCATTAACTCCGTTAGCACAGCAAAGGATCAGGGATGTAAGAGGCCGGTTGGGAGGGGGCCTCCTGGGGTTTGGTGGCTAGGGTTTAGGGGATTAGGGTGTCGGGCAGTGAGGAGGTGGCGGCGGCAGGGAGAGGGGAGAGAGGCACAGGGAGAAGGGGAGAGGAAGGATAAGCCTGAGGCTATTCTTTCTTGATCCTCAATGATTACATTGCCTCTCTATTTATAGTCCTGAGTAGACTTGCATCTTTAAGTAATCTAATGAGGGAAGTCCTTATAGATTTGGACTCCTCCCGATCTATCTAATCTAAACCGACTCTATTCCTATTCTCTTTCCTTTATTCGAGATCCTCCGGGTATGGATGTCGGCGGTGCAGCGGGAGGCCGCCCTCGCCGAGCGTGCGCGCCACCCCCTAGGTGGCGCAGCTAGCCTGGGCCCCTTCTGGACCCTCCATTAGACGTATGACAAGGGACTAGAAGATTTCTTAAGCTATTGGTTCATTTATGGGAATGTCACTGCATGCTTGTGCTTTAAAATTGTTTGTACCTACATTTATCTTGTGATTGTTATTTCTTTAGTCTTTCAAAGCTCTTACTCATTTTTGGGCGATTTGTTTAGTGTGGCATAGTTGACTACTTTGCAAAAGACACATGGCATATCGAATCTTTTGATTGGCTAGCTTTAACTAAAGTAGACTTTGCCTACATTTTGGTTCAGTTATGGCCATCCAGTGCTTGTTTTACTTCACTAATTAGTATGTACTCTCACTAGACCCTTTTCTATAGTGGTGGGCAAGCAAGGCTGATGTTGGAGAGTGACATTTGCTTCTATTTTACCAGATATTGCTCCAGTTTGTGAAGGAGCTGTTCAACACATAGCTTCCAAGAGATTAGAGATTGGGGGAGTTGACTTGACAAATCTGTTTGCACAAGAACTGAAAAAATCCAATCCATCAGTAAACCTTGATGTTTCTGATGTTGAGAGGCTGAAAGAGCAGTATGCATGTTGCGCAGAAGATCAGTTGGCTTTTGAAGCTATAGGAAGCTCTTGCCAACCAGAAAAGCACACTCTTCCTGATGGGCAGGTAGGTTATTATACATTGTTTTGCCGTAAATCTTCTGTCAAACATACAGTCCTCTCTTATTGTGTGATTGATTTTCTACATAAATTCATGATTATTGTGTCCTCGTCTCTTTTCTTGCTTTTGGGTCCAAATACAGTAATGAATCTATACAAACTAGTCTTTTATAACCGCTTCTTTCTCCAGGTTATAACAATTGAAAAAGAGGGGTACATTGTTGGTGAAGCTTTATTTCAACCACATATATTGGGCTTGGAAGATTATGGTATCGTTCACCAGCTAGTTACTAGTGTCTCAAATGTTTCATCAGAGTACCATCGTCAGCTGCTTGAAAATACCATGTTATGTGGTGGCACCGCATCAATGACTGGTTAGTTATTGATTTCATATGCCAGATGCCTTTTGTTCTTGATGTGCACCTTTATTTTATTCAACCTTGTGAGCTATATGTCAAATGCATATTTATTAGCTAGATAGGGTAAGTAATATCATTTTGTTTTAAACTTTCGTGGATTTAACATATGTTTTCTAGTTGAACACAGCTTCATTCAAGATGAAAATCTGCCTTAGGTATGAACTGATTGTGTGGATGCCAACCTATGCACCACTAGTCTGGTACATTCTCTGTTGTTATGTTCCCTAATAAAAAAAAGTGTCAGCTTTGATGTTCTGTTAGAACTTTGAAATTTCATTTGATGGTTGTTCTTTGGATAAGTAGCCAAATATTATGGCGAATATGGGTAGGCTTAAGTAGTCAAATATTATGGCGAATATGGGTAGCAACAGCACAACTGGAAGTGGAAAGTATGTTAGTTAAGTAAGAATTGGGTTGCTGAAACTGATTCTTGATATTGAAATAAGCATTTATCGCACAGCTACATTTCATGTCATGGTTACAGCTTTGCATGTTCATTTGGCTCTCTTGGACAGTTGTGTATACAACTTGTACATCTTTATGCATAATTAATCTGAACTCCTGTAGTTTTGCTTAGACTCATTTAATCACTAAGGTTTATCTCACTTTCATTCCTCAAGGCTTTGAGGACAGGTTCCAGAGAGAAGCAAATCTGTCTGCTTCAGCAATCTGTCCATCACTTGTGAAGGTACCCTCAATTCTGCTCCTAGTCAATCCCCTTCACACTTGCCTGGTTATTACTAACTTAAGCAATGTTTCCTCCAGCCCCCTGAATACATGCCCGAGAACCTAGCAAGGTACTCGGCCTGGTTGGGTGGTGCGATATTGGCCAAGATCGTTTTCCCTCAAAACCAGCATGTCACCAAGGGCGAGTATGATGAGACGGGGCCGTCCATTGTGCACAAGAAGTGCTTTTAGAGACAACTGCTTTGAACTAGCACGGTTGGTGCACCATTTGCTGCTGTTCATGTCACAGGTGTGCTCATACCTGAATGCTGCAGGTGCTGATGCTTGTGTCTACACCTTACTCCAGCCACAGTTCATACCTGACTGTTGCAAAGTGTTGATGCATCTAGCTCGGTTAGGTTGTATTGCCCCTTAGGTTTATTTAGAGTGCAAAAGAGTGTAACATCGACATGTATTTGTTAGGAGTTCTAGCCAATTGCCCATTTGTACCTGTAGTATCAGAGAATTTTCTGAGATTTCCTTTTCAATTTACATTATGATCCATTATCTATTCAGCTACTACTAGTGAAAGAGTTCTTTGGTGCGTCACAGTTGGGCACATAAATTGTACGTCAAGCTTTGTTAGCCCTGCGCCCCATGTCACAGATCCTTTTTTTTTTGGCTAAACTTCGTCACAGGTGTGGTGTTCATTTATTAGCCAAACTTTTTTTTTTTTTTGTGGCGGTCGCTTTACCTATGGTGAGTTGTGGACTTGTGGTAATACGTGACTAGCAACCAAGCATGCCTTTACTTAAGATACTCACGAAGGATGGCCACTTCGACTGGTAAATGGACACATGCAGTTCTTTACGGACCTGGTGGATGTAATGGTGACATTATAGACTTTGATCTGTCTCTTTAGTCGCAACACCAATACATATATGAAATTGTTTTTGGAAGATTATGATACCAAAACCGCGGGCAAGCATGGACCTACGGCCCACAGGTTTTTGTACCTTTGGTTTTTCGTGAGGAGGTTTCTGTACTTTTATGCTTGAGCGCATCAACAAGGTTGAAATATTTCGGAAATTTTATATTTTAGATTTAGACTCGACGTATGTGTCATGTGCAACTAAATCAGCGTTTAGGCAAGATCCATTTGCCACCAGGCAAAGATAAATGCCTCTCGCCTGTCTCATCAACCCCCCAAAACCACCACCATTCCTCAGTAGTCGGTCCCTATAATTGGCTACTGTCGAAAAAGAGTATGACCAATGAGAAACCAAGAGCAAGGATAAAAATGGAATGGATATTTTCTGATATCTTTTCTTCCAAAAGGGTCAAAACTATATCCGCATATGAATCTGAACATTTAATATCCGTACCATATTCCGAATTTGAATACTCAAAATCGGATTTATGATATAGTAAACAGAAACACTGATAATAGCTAATTGGTTATATTTTTTTTTGTGAAATCTACTCTCTACGTTCTAAATTATAAGTCGCTTTGACTTTTTTAGTTCATCCATTTTGTTATATATCTAGACATATTATTATATTTTTTTTAAACGACATATATTATTATATCTAGATGCATAGTAAAATAAATGTATAAAAAAAAATCAAAGCGACTTATAATTTAGAACAAAGAAAGTATCTGTTAAGTTAACTCTTTGGTTTAGCAGGATTACTCGTATTTTGAGCCGTTCGAAATACTACTAAGAGTAGGATGTGTGCGCTTATGGCTCTGATAGGATTGTGACCGTAGGTTGCCGTAAGGGCAGTCTCAATGGAGGTTTCATGGCCCCGTTTCTAATACATCAATATTTTAAAAAATAGTGGAGAAGAGTTTCGTCCCCATGAAACTCTCTATGCTCCCATGAAACTTTCATCATCTCTATTCATCATTACAGTGCCACATCAACATATTTAATACTTATGAAACTCTGATGAAACCCCCATTAAAACTAGCCTAAGTGAATGCTGGCCGCCCCAAAGTCTGGCTTCGTTTTTCTCGCCCAACATTTGTTGTCAAAAGTTGCTGTTGAGCACAACAGAAAAGCATATAGAAGGACGGCATGCCAAAATGCGTCGAGAAGCAAACAGTGCCGGAGTGAGTGTGGCACGCTAGACTTCTTCAGCAAGTTTGGGACATGAACCAAACAGACCCTACGGTGAGAGCTATTCTTGTAATTATAGATTTCATGTGTAGGGTGTGCATATGTGCAATAATTGTGAGGGTGATCTCCCCACTTAAACATGGAATGTTCAACAGTAAAGTTAATTTTCTTAAAGCTCCACTAGGTATTCTTAGGGCCTGATTGATCACAATGAATTATTATAATCTAGAAGATTACGCAAAGGATTAAGATCAGGGCTATGTATTATAATAATAGGAGTGTTTGGGTCCTTAGATTATGATGATCGATTATGATTAGTTAAAGTGTGACATTCTTATCTTATCCTTTAGTTTGGCAAGTTGGATAATCAATTAGAGGGGCAAGTTAGACTTTCAGCATCCATAATCCTCTAAAATTTGATCTCACCTGTATTATATGATTATGGTAATTAGAGTTTTTATTTAGTAATCAGAGGTTTTAATTATAATAATCCATCATATAATCATGTTTGAATCAAAGTTTGATTGTATAATCTGATCGTTATAATCACAGGGCTATCCAAACAGGCAATTCCACCTAGGCCTTGTTTAGATTGCCTCAAAATTCCAAGTTTTTTCACTCTCTCTCCATCACATCAATTTTTGAACGCATACATAGAGCATTAAATATAGGTAAAAAAAAACTAATTACACAGTTTGGTTGTAAATCACGAGACGAATCTTTTGAGTCTAGTTAGTCCATGATCGGATAAAGTTTGTCAAATACAAACGAAACGTGCTACAGTGTCCAGATTGCAAAAAATTGCAATCTAAACAAGGCCCTACATATAATTGAGCCATTGCTAATTCTCTCTCCCATCTCTTCTCTACATGTCTCTCTCCCGTTGCTCTCCCTCCTCTCTCAGCACGGCATGGTGGCAGCGCAGCAGCTCGCTCATAGCTCCTGTGCGGCGGCGGCGCGGCAGCCAGCACGCGCTCGCACCGACGATGACAAGGTAGCCCGTGCGCTCACGGCTGCAGCGCGCGGCCGATGCTCTCAGGGCGGCATCAACTCCACCTGTGGGCCCGCGATGTCAATGGCTTGATGAGAAAAAGATGGTGGTAGATTCCCCTTCATTTGAGAAATTGAGGGGAGTTTTTGAGGGATTGAGAAAAAGAAAAGATGATTGAGGGATTGAGAAAAAGAAAAGATGATTGAGAAAGAGGATCTGCTGAAAGTATTTCTTTGATTTTACTTTCGTATATGACAGTTTTTAGAGAAAGATGATTATTTTTCTCAATCTTGTAGAGTTACTTCTGGTCATTTGGATGTTCACAATTTGATAAAACTAGTGGAAGGTGAAGTGATGGATTGTAACCGTCAGGTACTAATATTGTTACCATGCAGGCATCCACGATGGAGAGCTAGACCAAGCATTGATCTGTAAAAAAGTAGGAGTATTTAAGTAATTAGGGGCGTGTTTGGGACCGTGGTCGTCGACCGCGCGGTGCGATATGGGCACCGCGAGCTGCTAGTTCATTTTCGCGACTCCCGTGCCGAGTGCGGTTGAAAGAATCATCGCGGTCGCAGGGCGTTTGGCGCGATTGTTCGATTCTTTCCACCGTCACCGCGGAATACGCGGTCCCAAACACGCCCTAGATCAATTAGTGGGGACCGAGCTGTAGCTCGGAGGGCAGAGTGCTCGAGTGGTGAGCAGCCGGTCATGAGTTCGAGGCTTGCTTGTCTCACGTCTCCCACCGGGGTTTTTCCAATTATTTACAGGATGGTGGATGCCTCACACGGATGGACTACAACTGTCATATCTCTCGGCCGTGTTCTAGTGAACCTAGATATATGTTGTAGATCTAGATGTGTGTACGTGTGGTGTTATGGTGTGAGTTGGTATGTGTTCAGATAAAGTTGAAGCAATTAAAAAAAAAGATCAATTAGTACTATAGAAGCGTGTGTAACAACAAATCTGTTGATTTGAGTATATAATTCCATACAATAATTTTCGAACACCAAAGCTGTCAAACTCTGATGGTACGGTTTCTGGGATACAGAACAAAGAGACTAAGCTAGGGCAGTACCATGAAAAAGAATCTTGCCACAAAAAAAAAATCGTTGATTCATTAGTTCATGACAGAGGCATCAATGATACCTCCATCTGACATCCGCATCAGATAATGTATAATCAACTCGAGATAAGAAGAACGCCTAAGAGCAACTCCAACAAAAAAACTACCTATGTAATCTATATTTAACTATTTTAGAGAATTTCCAAAATAGAAAATCATGTACGCCGGAATTCTCGATACAGCGCGGCGGCGAGCGCCTCACAGAAAGCAGAGCCCACTGGTTTCCTTCACTTTCCTCCTCGGCTAGGCGGAACGAGGTCGTCTGCAGTTGACAAATACGACTTGTCTCTGCGGTTCTCATCCAAGCCGTTGATACTAGATCCAAGGGTGAGCTCCAGAAAACTAAACTAATAGGCCTCAAATCAGCCCATGTGAGCCCATCCCGCACCATTCTTATCCCCTCGCGACTCCAACCTCCGCCTCTGTCGTCGCTCGTTCCCCATGCCGCGCGGCTCCTCCGTCGTCGTCGGGCACCTCACCGAAGCGCCGCGTCGGTCCGTTGGGTTGATTTCCCACGACCGCGTCAGGCGTCACCACGTCCACGTCCCGGGGGTGGGTCGGCTGCCTCTACCTGCCGCGCCTGCGCCTCCTCAATCCTCGCCACCGCATCGGCATCGCCCCGCCGCGTGGTGATGTGCTCGCCTCTCTCGCCAGACCCAGTGGTGTGGCGTGGTTGGGCGCGCCGGATTTTTGCGATGTGACGCTTGCCGGCCTGGCCTGGGTGCGCCCGAGCATGTCGTGCACGAGGACAAGAGTTGAGATATCATTGGCTGTAAGTAAATCTGGCATTTGATCTGAGCCATTATTATATACAGGCAAATATATGGTGATTAGTGAAGGAATGAAACCAACTCTACTAGGAATTCAGTTACCAGGTCGATTATGAATACCTTGTTCTCTACAAACTTTTGCACGAACAATCATGCTTCCCCTCATCTGTTCATCCTTCGAATGCCATTGTAGGGGATTTTAACTGGAAAGCCATCGTTCATTGTGTTTGGTTCTTGTTTTACCCTGGAAATACTAGCACTACTTGCAGTCTGTGATTTCTCATCCAGTGGTGCTTTGCTAAAAGAAATGTAGTTTTGCATTGTAGGACTCTTCAGATAAAATGCTAGCTGACGCTTATGTATGGAGTGATGCAGGGGACCCCAATCTTTACGGCGAATGGGATTTTGAGGTGAGGATACTTGTTTCCTGCAGTCCTAGGATGTTAACGCTATGTGATTATTCTGATTCTTTAATCCCCACACTTGATCCTCGTGAATTCTATCTATAATGTATCGTCACGCTATGGCCATAGGAGAACTGCAGCTACCTTAGGATCCTATCAAATGCTGAACTCTATCAGCCATTGCCATCCTCAGGATCTAAATTCCCATTGCAACCACACTCTGTGAATGTAGCAATTTGTTAGCATAATTCCGGCAACTACTCTTTATCAATACGTCTTCCACGTCCTCATCTATCTATTTCCATTTACACCCATAGCCCAAAATGTGGTATGTACATATGTGTCCTTGTGCTGTCTAACTACAAAGATTATCTCTTGCCCACAGGAGTGGAAGAAACTGCATATGAAGGATTTCCTTGCGATGACGAATGGTTTCATGCATGAACTCGAACAGCCTGAATCCAAGACCAGGGTGGAGACCTACGAGTCATTCATGCAACAACATGAACAGCCTGCGCCAGGGACCCAGGTTGAGGGTTGAGAGTTGCAATCTGCTGGCTGCTAATCTACATCTAGTCATTCTCCTGGAGGAATTGCATTGGCATTGGCGCTCGTCTCCCCGCCACCACGCACGAGCCTCATCGCCGATGAAGCTGTTGCTCGCCGATGAAGCTGCTTGTCGACACCGTTCCTCATCACGCCAGTGTTTACCTTCCCGCCATCGCGACGCTCAGCCTAGTGGCCGCAGATGCCCGGCTTCGTGGCCGCAGCCCCTGGCGCCCTATGGTTAGGCCCATCGGTGGACTGTAAAAGACTAGTGATGGAAGGATACTGTAATTGCTATTAGTTCTGTAAAGGAAATCCCTTAATGTAAATTGTTCAAGTGCTAGCAAACAATTTATGACTATAGAAGACGTAAATATCGCCATTGTATTGTAAATTGATTTGGAATGCTATTGTGAATGCAATGCACAAAAGATGTCACTCGTTACTGCAATTTCATATGGCTGCACAAAAGATGTTGCTGGTTAATGCAATTTCATCAAGATGCACAAAATGATGCATATTACTGGAATTTGGCTGATTACACTTTAACCACAAAACCAAAACTATCTGTCATTGCAGGACAAATGCAAAGGGACATGATCTGTACTACTAGAATTCACCAATAACACCATCTGTCATTGCTCCCTGAAAAAATAGAACAAAAATAATTCACATAATGACCATGTATGATTTAGAAGAAAAATGTATTACTTTGTAATATTACCGTCAATAGTTGAGAGAAATTATTGATGACTGTGTATGATTCAGAGATCTCTTCGTGAGGTAAAGATGGATGGTTCAGGCATGTATTTTGTAGTGTTGCGCCATCATCGACCGACACTTTTGTAGTCTGTTGCTCTGATCGATAGAAGTGAATCAAATAGTTAAATACAATTGAAACTTTTTGTAGCGAATACAGTTAGAGAGAATCTGATATATTTTGTGTTGTTAAATACCTTTGAACATTTTTCTTTTTTCTTGTCACAAACCAACTTGGATGCAAGCCAACTCATGAGCAGCTTTGGGCCCAATTCCAGTATCGTCAGCCGTCTCAATTTCAAAACCTTATAACTCTGAAATTTTCCTTTGGGACGCCATCAAATGTGAGGTTTGTGGCAGCTGAAGGGTATGATTGTGTTCCAAAAACAGATCAGTCACTTTATAATTTCTCTTATTCTTGTCCATTATAAGTCCCATGCGAACTTGACAGTTGGTCCTAGTTTCAGTTCTTGGACACTTTGTTAGATGATCTCTTTTATCTGACTTTCTCTGACCCTCATTTGCACAAACAAATTTGCAGGAACTAACCTTCCCATCTAACTTTCTTTTGTTTGTGTACATTTTCCTCACCTTAGCCTTTGTGACCCCATAGCTAATCCAAAACATCGAAGCCTCATCTATAGTACCGAACTCCATGCCAACTTGAGGTAAAAGATTAGGAAGCAAGCCCTCCCTACAAGAAAACATATAAAGATGACATGATATTAGGTGGTGAACTGAACAACTACAATCTATCTCTAAATTAGTTTGGACCACAAAAAAATAATTATGGCGTTACACACCTATTTTCTTCCATGTTAAATATGCAAATTTTGTTTCCATTCAAGCAAGTTGATGTTCCCTTCAAGCTTCCATATCAGATCTCCTTCAATCTATCAATTCCAGCAAAATCCAGTGAAAAAAAAATCAAATTAGAACAACACGTCACAACAAGGGATGACGTGAGTGCAGAAGTCCACCTGCTTACCACAGCAGCAGCAGTCCGATCTCGGCGCCCGCCCTTTCCGTTCTCGTGCCAAAAACGCAGTCCCGGTGTCAAAGTATCGAGTAATCGCGTCAGAACCAAAATACAGCTTCTCTGTTGTACATTTTTTTTAGTGGACGTGGCTCTGTTGTTTGGGCCGAAGTCCAGCTTGCTGATAGAAGCAGCACTTATGCTCTGGTCACTATTAGATATGAATGAACGTCTAGATGTTCAGCAACCATCGAGAAAAGTCATTTGGCCGATTGCTGAGGATCTCATTCCGGCTGGGCTGCCATAAATATCCGGGCAGAGAACTTGCTATGTCGGCCTGGACACTGGCGGGCCCCACGCATCGGTGACGTGGGTGACTGGGTGTGTGTGTCCACCTTCGCGTGATGAGGGGCCGCGCGCGACAGCGACCCCCGACGATGGATATTTTATCCTGGGCCCCGCAAGGACCCGCTCCGCCACGTCGCAGCACGAAGCTAGCTGCTCAACTGCCATACCTGGATGACAGGTGGATCCACTTGTTTATTTGACCCCACATTTCAGCGATAAAGCGTGGAGCGTTGGGTGTGCCGAGATGTGTGGGCGGGCCCCGTCGTTCACTGCGGTGCGGGCCCGCCCCGGACACTGTTCCTCGTCGTCGCTCTCGCCCCGGCCCCCCACGACTGTGGCAACAAAAGGGGGTCTCGGTTTGGAGGTGGACTCGGACTCGGCGGGAACAATCCAGCGAGCTAGAAAGAGGATACCAACCCAATCCAGATTCCAGGCCGGAGCGCGAGCGAACTCAGGAAAGGCAAGCCGTTCCAGTCCAAAATCCAATCGCCGGGTGGCCAGGGAGGAGCGGGACGCGGCGAGGTTTAGGCAGGGTTTGTTTGTCCCGTTCGTGCCATTAAGCTCTCCACGCGGGAGGCAAGTACTGACGGAAGCGAAGCCGAAGGAGGAGGAGGGGGTCGCCGGCGGTGGGACGCGCCGATGCGCAAGTTTCAGGATTCCGTCAAGGCCCTGCAGGCCGACATCGATCACGCCAATGCGCTGTGAGTGCAGGGAGCAGAGTTTCCTGTTCGCCCCCTCCCCTTTGCTTGCTCGAGTTAAAGGCGGAATCTTTTATACTTTTCGACGTTTTGGTCACTGAATGGCTTGCTTGCGTTTTTTTTTGGGTCTGCGAGCAGGGCGTCGGAATTCCAGAGGGACTACGACGGCTCGGTCATCCAGATGCGGATGGCGTACAGCGCCGTCGCGCATTTCCTCGTGCAGTGGACTGACTGTAAGCTCGCCGGCGCGCTCGGCCTCCTCAAGATTATGCTGTACAAGGTATCGCCTTGAACCCGTTTTCGATTCGATTTTCACGCCACGAGCTGGCTGTTGAGTTGCCGTTTCTTCGACAGGTGTACGCGGACGGCTCGTCGGCGCTTCCTGACTGGGAGAGGGAGGCCAGTATCAGGCAGTTCTACGGTAATTATCCCACCCCCTTTCGCCCCATCAAGCAATCCGTGAACAATTGCGCCGTTGAGTGTCGATTCTGATGGCGAAGCGCAATGGCAGGCGTCATTTTCCCGTCGCTGCTGCAGCTGCCGAGCGGCATCACCGAGCTGGACGACAGGAAACAGAGGATACTCTGCCTGAAGAAATTCAGGAGCAGGGATGAGCAGCTCTCGGAGGTGGACACGGAGAGGGAGCTCGAGTGCGGGATCTGCCTCGAGGTTAGCGGCAAGATCGTGCTGCCCGACTGTGCCCACACGCTCTGCATGCGGTGCTTTGAGGATTGGTATAGCTCTTTTCTCCTAGCTTAAAATCATTGGCCGAATCCATAAACACGCAGGAAGTTTTTTTTTGGTAGTTAGTACATTTGCACAAATTTGGGCATGTTAGCTTTTATCGATGGCAAAGTAGTAGTTCTCATGGGTTCTGAAGCAGAATTACAGTCAAGTAGTTCTCGTGGGTTCTGAAGCATAATTACAGTCAAGTAGTTCTCGTGGCTTCTGAAGCATAATTTGGTCAAGTGCATGTTGTTTGAAACTTTGGATTGGTCAAGTGCTGTTTCCTTTTTCTTTTTGAAAATTGGCATCGTGCTTCTTTTTTTTTTGTTTTAATGAAGCAATTTCATTGAAGTGGTCGCTTTGGAACCTTATTAGTGTCAGATGGTCTGTCTCTAGATCTCTAGTCATTTGACAGAATTCCAAGTTCTTGATGCAAGCTGTTCGTCCAAGCAACTTGCAATGACAATTGCCATTATTATGCTAGGAAAGTGTAGGAAGCTTTCTATCGAATCAGAAGTCTGTTTCCGAGTTGGTAATTTGGTACCAGAAGGAGCATTTATAGCTGAGGCATCACTTTCATTTTGGTTGCATGATGACTCTCAGAACAGCAAACCCCTGCTATTTTGTGTTTTACTATACCACCATGGGTGTAGCTTTAATATTTATGTTCACCTTGAGGTTTAAGATTCAAGTTATAGTTTTTTAATTTTTTTTGAAAGTATTCAAGGTATAGTTGGTTATTAGCGGATGAAGTGGTCTGATAAAATGTGATATGCTCTGTTAATGATTGTTCCATTCAGCTTATCTCTTTGTTAAGTCAGGATAAGCTTCGCTCTCTCATGCCAATGTTTATCTTCCACTGGATACTCTGTGCTTTGCTAGAGATAATCTTCCACTCTCTTAAGCCAATATTTAACTTCCACTGGATATTTTGTGCTTTGCATCATCATCAAGCATAACAAATCTGTCCTTTCCCTTCCCTGCTCCCAATCTATCATATATTCATATTCATATCATTCATTCAAAACAAATTTGTGTGGAAGCTATTATAAGTGATCATCCTAATGGTGGGCCGTAACAAAAGGTCATGCACTCTGTATCACAGGAACGAGAAATCAAAGTCCTGCCCCTTCTGTCGCGCCTGCCTAGAGGAGGTGAAGCCGGGCAGCCTGTGGATGTATACCGACGACAGCGACGTTGTGAATATGGATACTTTGGCTAGGGAGAACATTAGGCGGCTGTCCATGTACATAAATAAGTTGCCACTTGTAGTCCTACATGTAGTTGACCTAACGGCTCCTTGTTGATGCCAGTTTCTGTTTTGGTTTACCGCTCCTGTCTGGTGTGAGAATGCCAAGCAGGCGCTTGGAGTTATTAACGTTTGGCGTGCGGTAGGTGGTGTGGATTAATTTTTTTTACTGTACCAAACAGCTTCACATAGGTCTGTATATTTTTTAAAAAGTGTAACTTGGTCATATAACATCTATAACTTAAATATTTCATATGGGTCCTGTAGCTCAGTTGGTTAGAGCGTTGGTCTTATGAGCCGAAGGTCGCGGGTTCGAGCCCCGCCAGGACCATTTTTTTCGTTTTTATACTTTTTTATCATTTCACCATTTTTTTTCGTTTTTTTTACTTTTTTATCATTTCAGATTTATCTTTGTTTTTTTCTTCCTACCATTGCATGTGTGTATATTGTATAATACATTTAAATCTTTTACTAAGATGTACAGACATTATAATTTTTTTGCTTTTAACATTTTTTTCTTTTTACTGTTGCTGAGTTTGCATATTACATAATGCATTTTTTATTTATTTTTGCTTTTTACCATTGCGAGTTTGCATATTGCGTAATGTATTTTTATGTTTACCTTGTTACAACTGTCATAAGTCCGTTGCAGGTTCGTACGTGGCATAATACATTTTTATTTTTGTATTGTCATAATTTTATTTTTGTTTTTAACGTTGCGAGTTTGCATTTGCATAATGCACTTTTATTTTTTGTTTTTTACCACCGTCATAAGTTCGTTGCAGGTTTGTATGTTGCATAATATATTTTTATTTTTGTACCGTTGCAGGTTTGTATGTTGTATGTGCGACGTTATAAATTGTTTTTGCTTTTTACCATTGCGAGTTTGCATGCCGTGTAATGCATTTTTATTTTTGTGCATTTTACCACTGTCATAAGTCCGGATTCCGGTCTTGTGTTACGGATCTCAGAAAGGTGTACAGGGTCATAAATTTATTTTGCTTACTGAGGTTTGCATGTCGCGTAATGTATTTTTCTTGCTTTTCGTCGTCATAGGTCCGGGTTCGCGCGTAGCGCATGTTAAAAAGGTGCATAGGGTTAGGAAATTGTCTCCTGCAGGTTCGCGTATCACGCAACGTATTTTTCTTTCTTTCTTTTTTTTATTTGTTTTTTTACGGACATGGGTTCAGTTTCGCGCGCTGTGCAACGCATCTCAGAAAGCTGTGCAGGGGTCATGAAATCATCTCCAGTGGTTTTTTTTTTCGAATTCTCGCTTCATTCATTAAACAGCGTTATTACATATTACAAAATTGCAGACCAAACAAAATTATCTAACAAAGATGTAGGATGTTAGGCGCACAAATGAGCTGTAAAATTCACCGATTTTCTTGTATGGATAACCTGGAAAGAAGAGAAATTTGAAGCCATCTCCAGTGGGTTTACGTGTCGTGCAACACACCTCACAAAAACAGCACGGAGGCCACAAAATCATCTCCCATTCTATATAGCTTAGCCCATGAACAGAAATGGTGTCCTGTTCAGTATAAGACGATCCACTACACACCACGTACCGGCAACACGCCGAGGTGACCGAGGGCAGGGCCGAGGCCGAGCCGGGCGCTCGAGCAGGCGGAGCTGGCGAGTGCGAATGCGAGCATGACGGCCGGCGGCCCGGGGAAAGGGAGCACCGGCGCAGCCGCGCAGGGCAGGGGCGGCACGACGCTGCCAGCAGCCCAGGGGTGGGCCCAGCTATATTCAAGGGTATTCAGTTCCCAAACTTTTTGGCAAGAAAATTTATAGATATTATAGTGTATATATACGTACTATGTATTGGAAAGAAGAACAAAAATGAAGATAAATAAACATCCCGGTGAAGAATTCGGCCCAAAAACAGACTTTTCTACTCCTCTCATCTCCCACCTGATGGCTCAATGGCCTATTTCGGCCCAAGAAGGTATATATACTGGGCAAAAAGACTCCGGACTGGGGAGCAGCCGAGCAACGAGCATAGCAGCAGCTCACGCAGTCACGCTCAATTGCAGAGTTTAACTGTATAAAATTTCTTATCTTTATCCTCTAATATGACTATATATTTCATCTCTTACGCAGTCACGCTCAGTTGCTTTGCTATGTTGAACTACTGGTACCTTTTATTAATTAATTTTAAGTGATGCTCAAGTTCTATAAATATGCGAAAACATGCTCAATTATGTGTTATATATTTGCTAAGTCCAGGAGGGGCGACGAGCGCGTAGGCCTCAAAGGGGAGCCGGGAGTGACACCGGTCGCTGACCATTTCGAGCACACGAGCCACCTAGGTTCGGAGCGAGAAATGGCAACGAGATGGCACACTGATGTCGCGTATAGCCCGACACGGTGGCCATACTGCCCCTCGCCCTCCGACTCGCAAAATCCCTTCTAGCATCGACTATTAGAACTGACCGGCAATGATAGCCTCTGGCCGCCACGAATGGTCTCCAGCAGGACGCATGCCCGAGAACCACGCGGTTCCCTTCAAAGACCTTTCTCGCTCCCCCGTCGGAGCTCCGCCCCTCAAAGGAGCCAAAGGAATCTTGGCGCCAGAGGTAGCCCAGACAGAGGAAGGCCCTCTCTTATAAGCCCAAGGCTAGATTGAATAGCCTGGGACTCGCCACGTGGCGAGCAATAGGAGGCACGAAACATCGGGAAAAACGAGATCTTCCTAAAGGCAGGGCCGGTACAGCGTCGACAAGACCGCTCGGTCCCTCCTAGAATGCAAGCCCTGATGCATAGCCCACAGACATGACAGTCGAGTACCACATCATCGGGACGCCATGACAAAGCGAAACATGACGGCCGCTCGCCGCATTGAATACACCGAATGTTGGCAGTCATTACCGATCAAATCCGACCGCTAATTAAGACACAACAAGAGAAGAAATAAGCAATCTTGATCACGTATGCATTTACTACTAACCAAGTTCCACATGTATTTGGAGAACGTTAAATTTAACAACCCTTTATATTTTGAATACCCGACCTCAAAATCCTAGGCCCGCCACTATAGAAGCCGGGCCGTAACACCCTCGGTGTTACGCCCTAAACAAACTACTAAATTATGTCATGAGCATCATGTTTACGTGATAATGTATGTGATGGAATGTGTAGATAACATTTTTGTAACTTCAGATGATCAATAAAAATGTTAAATGATAAGCTATTCCATAACTCATATGTATCAATTAGGGTTTAAAACTAATTTTTATTGAACAAAAATGCTATAGAACATATATGTGGCGCTAAATATAGTTTGGAATATGAACTTTGTAGATGACAGTGAAATACTTGCCATGGAAAAATAACAGTATTAGTCAACATTTCTAATAGCCTAGAAATGCAATTTGGAATCAACTTTAGCTTAAAAATTTGGAATATTTTCAAGTATGTTGACAACTAGACAATGCAATGTTTGGTGATTTATTTTGTGAAATCGAGTTAGGAGGTGCTGTCGTGTTTTAGCTCGGGTTGGTAGCCTCATATCCCCTCTGGAGCATGGTGAAGATGGTTTAGGTTCCAGAGCAACCGTTTAGTTTTTATAGGTGCTTTAAAATTCGTGCAAGACGTGATTTCAGGCTAGTTCACCGGGTGAGCGTGGTCACCACGTCTCGAGGGCGCAACATCGCCATGCCTGCTCGATCTGCACGCGCACGTGCGCTGCCGCGCATGTCCGGCTACGACTGCCCTGGCCTGGCCGCCACTGGCTCTGCCATGTGGAGCCGCTACTGGTGCTCGCACGACCAGGCAATGCTGCAGCCTGCCTTTTCGCGCTGGTCAGGATCCAGTAACTGACTAGACGCTGAACAGCGAAGTGACTAGACTATGGGTGCCAGCGTCCGGTCAACATAAGTAAGATTTTAGAGAGCAGTTTTCATGACCGGACGCGTTCGGTCAGATCTTAACGACTCTTTCTGACACAGTGGCGGGGATAACTGACCGGAGCGTCCGATCACCCTGACCGGAGCGTCCGGTCACCCCGTAGAGTGATGACTCAACCTCCAAACATTATGTTTTAAATGAGGGGGGTATAAATACTTCACTCATCCAAGGGAGCTCTCTTGCCCATTTATTCAGTTGTGAAACACCCTCTAGAGTGCAAAGGAGGGCAAGAGCCTAGTGAGGTGATTGAGATTTGAGAATCTAAGATTAAGGCCTCATTAGTGAAAGGAGAGTAGCAAGTGTGCATCCACCCTTCTCATTAGGCTTGTTGTGGTCAAGTGAGAGTTCGTGCTTGTTACTCTTGGTGATCGCCATCACCTAGATGGCTTGGTGGTGATTGAGAGTTTAATGATCATCCGGCGGAGCTTGTGGATGACCCAACTCAAGTTGTGAGCGGTTGTGGGCGATTCACCGTGATGGAGTGTCGAAGAATCAACCCGTTGAGAGTACTTGATCCTTGCGCGGATCAAAGGGGAGCTACACCCTTGCATAGGTGCTCCAACGAGGACTAGTGGAGAGTGGCGACTCTCCGACACCTCGGCAAAATATCGCCGCATTCCTTCTCCTCTCTTTACTTTAAGCGTTTATATTTGAGCAATTCATTTCTTGTTATTACATTCTTAGAATTGCCATGCTAGAGTAGGATTGAAACCTAGGGTACAAAACTTTTGTGTGGTAGAACAATAGGAACACATTATAGGCACAAGGGATGAAGTGGGCTAAGTGTAGGGTTTA